TTCAAAACAAGGGGAACAGCTGCAAGGAGAAAACCTTGTTTGCTTCCTCGAAGTAAGGTGCAATTCAAAAAGAGGTCTTGGAAACAAACCAGAGTATTTCCTGGATAACAACATTATAGTTTGTATGTGAATTACGCATTATGAAACTCGAAAAGACACTTGGTATTCTTTGCAACAGTCATTTGCGTAAGTCTCTGTCAAGATTTTCATCAAAATATCATAAAGGAAAGATAAGGCGATCAACGTAAAGAACCAAGTGCGAGATCGATATCAAGGACTCTTTGACTTTGTGATGAGGGATAAAATATTTGACAAAAAAACCTACAGATAAAACGAATAGTTTTCCACAAAAGGGGTCCATTTTTAAATTCCTCGTCCTGCAAATGTTCTCAGGCGACTTTATAAACGCACGAGAAATGTCACGATCATCCACACTTTGAAAATGATGCTTTATGAGCTACTGATTATCCATTTCACCTGCAAATATTCATCACTGAAAAGAAATAACTTCGTCGATAGTTGCGATGCAATTGAAAAATAATTAGGGCTATGAGACAACTGGCACAGTGCAAAAACTCACACAGTGCAAAAACTCATGCAGTGCAAAAACTCACAAAGTGCAAAAACTCACACAGTAAAAAAACTCATGCAGTTTTTTCACTATTTTTTTTTTTAATTTAGGTCCTGGAAAAAATGAATTAATACCTTCTTGTGTCCAGATTCTCTTCTGCCCTAACTCAATTGTTTGCATTTACAAAATGCCTAATGAAAATCAAATTTCCTAAAATGTATTTCCAATTTTATCATGCAGTGTCCTCTTCTTGAGTCAGTGTCCTCGTATTGGGCCTTTTTTATGATTTTTCTTTTACTAAATGTTCCTATGTTGAATTGTCCCCAGCTTGTTGAGGTGTCCGCATGTGGGGGTCTCACTCTCAATCAAAGGATTTCAAACATGTCATTCATGAGAATGCAAGTTTTTTGTGAGCTTGAAAAAAATTACGATTTTTCAACACTTGATTGGTTTTGCAAGTGAATCCGCATTAAACTCGAAATAAAGGACGGTTGAAACAATGGTTTTTGTTTTTTATCAGCAGTCGATTTTCCACTGACTTCCAATAATAACTCCTTCATTCCTTTTCTCTGTGTCTTTGTCAAGATTTTCATCACAAAAGCAGAGGGGAGATAAAGAATATAAGCTTACTTTGAAAATCACGTACTTATGATTGACCAAGTAGTTTTTGACTTTGTATAATGAGGAATAGAATACAGTATGTAAGCTAAAAACTTGAGAGATACTGTTTCTACGAAAAACGGCTCATGTTTCCTCTTCCTAATGCCCAGCATTTAATCTCAGGGAAAATCATGAGCGCAGGAAAAATGTATCTGAATCAATCAACCATTTTTTGTCAAATGAAGCACTTCAATTTGAAGAGTATCCATTTTCCCCTTTGATATTCCTCAGAATAACAGAGCATTTCCATTTATTGATAAGACGAAAAATTAATAAGGCAGTAAATTCATGATCAAGTGGATTAGCCAGTAATTTCTGTAAATTATTATTATTTTGTTGGAGTCAGTTTCACCATCAGTCATTCGTCCAAAAAGTCATTTTTGCAGCAACTAATGAGCGTAAAATCCCCTTCACCGAGTCATTTCTATAAGAGGTATTTCATTTATGGTGTCCATGACATATAAACACTGCTAAAAACATCAATTCTGAAGTTTCTGGTGCGGGTATTTGCGAGATGAGAGTCGCTTTTTCAGGTTCTGCTTCTGCTTTTCAAAGAGTTTGTTCCAAAATTCTTCATGTGACGAGATACTGAAACAAACAACAACACATTCAAGACATAAAATCGGATGATTGTAAAAGAAATATGTCTTATGAAAATATATTTACAATGCTCTGGTTGCATTTGGTTCTTCCAGGTGCTTTGAGAAATTCCTCAGGAGTTCCAAGACGCTTTCGCGTTCAGGAGTCATTGCCTCTCTGGTTTTCAAGGCATTGAATTCGGCANTCCAAGACGCTTTCGCGTTCAGGAGTCATTGCCTCTCTGGTTTTCAAGGCATTGAATTCGGCATTTTTTACAATTTCCTTTATTCGACTCTGCAGAGGAAAACAGGCATCTTTTGTTATAATCTGAAGGAGGAGGAATCTTTTTAGGGATGTTTTCAATGTCTGAAAAATTCAGCAGATAGTATTTCGAGTAAGCGCTCCGCAAAAAGCATCTCTAAAATTAACCCTTCATGCGGAAACGTGGAATTTTAACGATTTGCTTGTGAAAATAAAAAAATATATACATGTTTCCGTGCATGGTGAAGATCGACGTATTCCATGGAAATTATTTTATGTGCCTGTTACTGTTTTTGAAAGAAAATGATCGGATATGGGAAGAGACAGCAACAGACTTTTGAAAAGGAATCGGTCGTTGTTTGAAAACTCAGAAGCGTAATGCAGATTTTTAATGAGTTCCTTCATTGTGAGAAAAATTCAATAGAGATTTCCTTGTGATTTGGTAGGCAAATAGTTCTTGAGACACTTTTCTTTTTGTGTCACAGTGCTTGATTGATCATGAACGGAAATACGAAATCAAGTACCAATTCTGCCGTCTTGTCTGCAACTCTCGCGATCGCCTTGTGCAAATTTTTGGCAGCGGTCAGCCAGACGATCAAACTCCTCTCGTCCATCAAATTCTTTGGGATTCTTTCGCATACATCAGGATCCACCAAGCCCAAAAGACACAATCGTAATCCGTCTGATATGATGGCAGCAACATTCGTATTTGGGAATGTTCCTCTAGAAGTTTTCAGTGCATCCAAGATTTTGTTCCATGTCACAGTGTCGTAGTTCACCTGCAATTTTAAAATGGCGGATTGTGAAAAAAAATAATTCATTAAAGTATGCAGAAAATGTAAATCACTTTTAAAAGAACACTTTTTTTGAACATCTGGAAACAGATTGCGTGGAAGTTTCAAAAAAATGTTTTCCCGGTTCAACGAATCTGAATTTTATCTTCTGAAATATCGCTGTATTTCAATCAGAATACTGCATGATAAATTCGTTAAATTCATCAAAATACTACGGAACACAAAGACATCAGACAGGAATGATTTTTTCTCTGAAAAAAATACACACCCTGTAATACCCAGAACGTCGATTGTTGAACAGGACCCAATCGTCGTCACCGTCGATCGTCACTGTCGTCGAAGCTTCGGTCAAATATGTTTTCGGATTCTTGTCGTCGAAGTTGGGATTTGACGACGTGGCCCACGTCAGCGCAATCGGCCACAACGTGTCGTCATCGTGTTCGTTATTCTTCACATTCAATAATCGTCTCTGCATTCAATAGACATTATTAATATTATTTTTTTTATTCCCGAAGTATTTACCTGGGAAGCATATTATAAATTTTTAATTAACTATTTTCTCCACGTGAAGCATTTTTACGCTTATACTAATGAAAACAAATTAATCATGGCGTTTGCGGAGAACGCGTTTCATTTTAATATTCAAAATCCTATAATGCACATCTCTCATCGATCATCGAACGACATTCTGTTAACGAATCAAAATATTTTCTTCCGATCATCACATGATACAGGAGAAAGTTATTCCACTTCAGAGAAAGTGCATGTGTCGTCATTGTGATATTTTCGAAATTTATTTATCGTATTTTCTCTATTAATGATGACAATTTCTTCACCTGGGAAACTGAGTAAACGGATTTTCCGTCCACCTTGGCCCCAGTGTTGGTGACAGTCACCAAGGGAAATCCAGCCTGATTTGAAAAAGGAGTGATCAATTCAGACACTGAATATTTCAGTCCAAGTCCTGCAGCTTCAGCAGCATTATTGAGAGCAGTGAAAAGATGTTCCTCTCTGACTGATTGAAATTGGTTATCAGCAAAGTAGTTCTTCATGCCTTCCATAAAGATTTCGTCTCCGAGCAGAAGGTACATCACTCTGCCAATATTGCCACCTGGAAGACGCCGAAATATGACTTGGTAGTACCTATTTGTTGATGTGAAGGGTGAATTGGGCGAAAAAATCTAACGGTGATCAACGATTAACCGTTTGTCACATTCAACAAGAAAGCGTATAGGAAGGAGATTTTCGTGGCAAATTCATATCTAATTTAGCTATCATCCATTCATACCTAATTAATACTTTCCAAATCCATATCTCTGTCGTTTTGAATTTGGGCACACAGATAGAAAATTCATGTTCTAACTTTTTATTACTTTAACTGGATTATTCCTAATATTTTTATTCGATAATTTGGTTATCGTTGAGCAACTTTTGTTCTAGCTTGTACAATATTCTATTGGCTTACAAATGCTGTCAACAAATATGCAATCTGATAAACTGGCCTTTTGTATAGCAGGTCCTACGCACATGAATATATTTTTTCAGCAAGGCCATGAGGGCTTAGAAAACTTTCATTGCACCAGCAAAAACATTATAAATATACTGTATATCAGGACAAATTTCAGGACACAAAATTACAGCAACATTACAAGGACCTCAACATACGCTATATGTTTCTATGCAAGAAATCAATATAAAGAGAGTCATTGTGTAAGTATTGTAGAATGGTTTAAAAAAAAAAAATTGTTGGTACACATTTTTTCATCATCAGAATTGTTTGCTGAGATTCTGGTTTTTTTTTAAATTAGCCTAAAATCCGTATATATCAAATATAATGAATTATCCCGATCTATTAAATCGAATTTATTCATAGCAATACAGTTTTACAATTAGAATTAAACTTACTGGAGCTTTTTTGACAGCATATTGCATATTTCTTTGTACAAAGTTTTTTTTGGAGAAATTAAACTAAAATGTGCAGGCACTAAAGAAACTATATGATGTGCAAAAACAACAGAAATTAGGATAACATGCAAATAACTGATATTAATTCTAACCTCGAATATATATCAATTCTTCCGCAAACCCCGTGACAATATCAGCTGGCTGACTGATGGGTACAACCATTGGCGGTGCTGTGGGTTCCAAGTCGAAATCCATTCCATTATCCATCAGCTGGGTTCCCAAGAAGTCGAGGTATGGAGAGCTTGGGTCAACCTGAATTCATCAAATGAAAAAAAATCTCGTTTCAATCAAAATTGAATGCAAAGTGACATACGTACTGATATGACACAGTCATACACACACAGATTATGATTTTGACGAACAAAATAATTTAACATTCCTTCAACATATATTTCAATGTATGCTGCCGGTAGATTTTCAATGTTAAAACTGTCGCGTAGATGTCGCCTTTACGAAGTCACATAACAGCAACCAATGATGGTTCTACAAAACTGTACTGTAGTTATAACAGATAATCCATTGCAACAAGATTGTTTGTTCGGTCACATTGCCACAATCTGAATTCAGTTACTTGGCAACAACATTTTTGTTCCAACCAAGTTCTTATTGGTCCCGAATATTTATCTTCGTTGGTATTTTAGATTCTACCGTATTACTACCCCATATGCGCGATTTCAAATCGGGTTATCAGTCTAATGAAATTTTCACGCGACTTCCTTGCAGAATTTTATTCCGGGTGATCGGGCGAGAATGATCTCGTAATTCATTCTGACGCTGGTACATTCACCTATTATTGGTACATATTAATTCAAGTAGGGCTCATTTCAAAGGCGTTAATCTTGTGAAATTATTCATGAATTCGAAATTTTACTTTTTCGGATATTAAGTAGGTGAAGAAGTGAGTCATTCCTTCGTTCAGCCAGGCAACATCCCACCACTGACACGTCACCAAATTTCCAGTCCACATGTGAGAAGTTTCATGTGCCATCAAAGTCAGGGACGCTGAACCGTCAATTCCGGCCACATCAGTTTCCCTGTACATTTTCGATTAAACAGCACAAAGATTTACATTTTTATAACTGCCGAAAAAATATTCCACACTCACGCATAAAATATGAGTCCATAGTTTTCCATGCCGCCATTAAAGCCGAAGACTCCCGCATGGTCGAGTTTCGGCAGTGGGAATGGAGTCGATAATCTAGCCAAAAATGCAATGACAAAATGTCAAAATGAATGTTCATGTACTGGAATTTTTGGTTTTTTTTTCGGGAAAAGCCGAAGACTCCCGCATGGTCGAGTTTCGGCAGTGGGAATGGAGTCGATAATCTAGCCAAAAATGCAATGACAAAATGTCAAAATGAATGTTCATGTACTGGAATTTTTGGTTTTTTTTTCGGGGACCCTGAGTTGCATTCTTTATTCATCACCTGGTCTCCATTTCGTTGAGGATGGTGGGAACGAAAACAGCGGCATCTCTGGTCAAGTTGGTGACTTCGTCTCTCACCAGGATGAATTGTCTCGGGTCACTGGTCGGCACTCTGGTGAAGTCTCCGACAATTATTGCTACCAGGTAGGTGGACATGACTACGGAGGTTTCGTGGTAGTCCCAAATGATATTCGGAGAAACAGAGCTGGAAATCGAACATGAAAACCTTGTACGTACATAGAAGTTTATGATTAATTTTTTTTTTCATAAGGGTCATTCAGTCGCACATTCAAGTTTCATAAATTCAACAAAATGGGATAATTGATTATTTCGCAGAGGATCAGCATGCAGTAATCGAATATTAAACATTTTCTGGTGCGGGTAATTAAAAAAAATAACCCAGATTGGACATGGTTGTTATGGAATAGAATACTGTATTTGGACTCTGCATATTCTCATGCAAGCTTTGGCAGATCGAATTTTTTTTGTAATATGCTCACTATGTTATCCTTACTGTCATGGGTCCATTGGATCCCAAACAAAGGAATTTAATTGTGCAGTCATCAGATAATGCAGCAGATTTAATAAGAAGATTTAAGGTTAAGGACCTCTTTGACACCAGATCATCCTATTTTCGGAGCTAACCAAACAGACTTACAGCCAAATGACAATCTGGGCAATGAGAATTAATGAACTCCTCTGAAAAGAGTTGAACTTCTTCAAAACTTGCATTATGATGGCTGCACAATTCAAATCCTTTGTCTGGAATCCAATGGACTCATGAAGTCATGAGTCATGACACTAACAGCAATTTAGTAAAATTATATAATCTGATAATTTATAATTTGACATGCAGGTCTTTTCACCTTTTAGAGAGATTCGTATTGAAGAACAATCAATATTGATGTTCAAGGAAAATAATCTGAAAAATTATGCTCCTCTTTGATCTTGTGGAATAAGGTGTGATTTACAGCATTACAGCATTTATTGTACATCATTTATTTGTTCTACAATAATTGCCATTGTCTACTATTGAAAAATTGAAGAATTCAAGTTCAGCACATTTAAAACTTTTTACAGAAAAATATAACTTTTTCAACTCACTCCACAGCACTTTTAGTCAATGGCATGTTGGTGTAAGCGTGGTACTTGTTTGGATGTCCAACAGTGATACTAAAGGTTGCTTTCAGTCCAGGTTCATCAAAGCAGGGGAACAAAGCTCTGGCAGATGTCGGTTGAAGTTGAGACCCAGCAAAATATCTTTAAAAAATTTCAATGAGCTCAGATGAGTTTAAAATTGGAACATCATTTTTTTAATTTGAAAAAAATTCAATTTAAAAATTGCTATTGTTTTTTTTTCCTTCATCCCGAAAAATTAGCTACACCTTGAAGGATTTGAACATGGTTATTGATTTGCCTTATACATGAACTGATGTTGCAAGCACAGGGTTTAAAAAAAATTCAACTGCTTCTTCGTATGTTCACACTTGAAAAAAATATAATGATTTTTTTAAATATTGGAATAAATTCAAAATTGCAACATGGGACATATCTGAGAAAGTTTCTCTGATTCAACCCAACATTTGAAAGATATCAAATAAATGTAATAAAGTATTTACAGAGGTGCCTTGTACAATGAACATAATTTGTGCAACAGCTACATTTTTTGTGTGATTTCTTTGCACTACAAATCCCTTCGACCTCCCTTGAGAATTTTTAATTTTGTTTTCAGGTTTCCCAACACTGTCACATGTCATGACAGTGCATCTCACTGTGACATTGTCATCACATGCAACCATTAAATGTGCCACAGCATCATGGCGCCATTGTTGTATGTGACAATGGTGTTTCAGTGTCATGGCAGCATGGTTGCATGTGATGACAGCTTCACAGCTTTGTGGCACCTTCTTCATTGGTGACAACAGTCAACAGTGTTGGAAAGAAATTAGTAATAGTCTAAAATACGATAGGATTATATTGGCGCCAGGAAAACAGCAATGCTTTGAGAGGGTCGGAAACCGGTAGGACTTTGCTCAACTTCGAGTTCCCATGAGATTCCGGATTCTTGGGGAAACCCTTCTGAAAGGATAAAGCTCAGGGACAAAATTGCAATACAAAGAAAACTGTTTAAATAGTGAAATATTTCCACATATCATCATCAGTTGCTTCTGTGTCATCTCACGCAAAAGACTGTCCATTGAAATTACTGTTTGAATTTGAAAAAAACCTCAAAAAATACATCAACCTTACACTAGGGTGTAAAGCACCCCGGCCGCAGCCCGGCTGATTGCGTTTGAACCAGTTATTCCAACTATCTCAAAGAAACCTGGGAAAATCATCAATTTTCAAACTAGCTTCAAATTACTGTCTCTAACAAACAGTGCACCTCAAAATCATGAGTGATGATATGATTGCACATGATGCTGGTGCCATAACATTGTGTTTTCACAGCAACACCAGCATTGTAACATGAGATGACAGTGCCATGATTTTTGTTTTGTTTTACAAATTCCATTCATTCTGTGATTGCAAAAATTCCAGGAAAAATGTTTATTCTACAGAATGTCTGTGCCATGATGTGTTTTTACTCTGAGGAGTGGCATGTGTCCAAATTTTTGGTCTAGGTTGTTGGAAAAAACTTCGGCATGCCGACAATTCGGCGCCAGATTAATTTTAAACGTCAGTCTTTCCCGAAAACTTCTAACAGCTT